TAAACGTAGCAATTACAGTACGTTGTGTAAGTTTTATGCACGAGTATATAATAATTTCTTTTTTTTTTAATTAATTTTTTTTTTAAAGATTTTTGCAAAATTATCACCAGTAATTACGCGTACGACCACACTATGCAGTTGTCCTTTTTCATTTTTTTTTTTAGCTTTAAAACTTTTGTCTTTGTGTCGGAAGTCTGTCTATGTCTGTGTCTCAGTGTGTCTGTAGCCGTCTGTGTGTAGCTTGTGTAATTTGTGGTGTAATTATGTAAACGTTTGGTTATGTTCTCCTCAACAGGCCAAAGCGAATAAATTTTCGCTTTGATTTTTATTATTATTTTTTAAATATTTTTGCTTGCATTTAAAATTGACACGCGCTGCTTTTTATTTTTGTTAAAAACTATATATATATATATATGTATATATGTATAGGCATATATAGATATATAATGAATTCTTTATATGTATATGTACATATATGGCCTATATATGCATGTGTGTGTGTATTGTATTACTATGCGTGTTTATATCATATATAGCTTATATGTAAATATTTTTTATATATATATATAAGTATGTACGTGTGTATGTGTATGTAAGTATAAACTATAAGCCTATAAGAATATAGTTGTAGTTGTATCTTATATGGATTTTTCATATGTAGCTTTTCAATTTTTGTTTTGTTTTTTTTTTCTTGTTTTGTTTTGGATTAATCTCAATATGCATATTCATCATACGATTATTATGAATTCGTTTCGGTGTACAAAGTTGTTGGTTTTGTTTATAGTGTTGTTTTCATTTGTTCGTTTTTAATTTCTTTCGTTTTGCTGGAAAAACCAAAATCATAGAAAAATGTTTAGCAAGTAAAAAAGTTCATTCACAGAAAAATTTTGTTGCAAGTTTTTGTTTTTGTTTTTGTTTTAGAGGTTAGCAAATAAAATGTTTTGTCATTGTTAAGCTTTGTAGTTGTAACTCGTGTAAGCAGCATGGTATAGAAATATTTCAAAAATCGACTGCGCTGGACTGAAAATGATTTCAAGCGCCGAATCGGCGATAAATATTGTGGCATACTCTTAGGCAAATAGACATGTGAAGAAATGTGTTTGCTATCGATAGCTATCGACAGTATGTAAATTGACTAAAAGAATATATTGAGCCCTATTAATAGCCGTCTTAGGGATAGATCGTTGAATAAAGAGAAATCTGCGCTCGAGTACAGCTTATAAATGCCCCTCTTTATCTTGCCATTTTGCTTAGCAAATGCAGTTTACGATAAATATCGATTTTGTTTGCCTTATCGTTGCATTATCGATAGCAAGAAATCGTTTCGTGGTAACGCAGTCGATTTAAGATTTGTTGTTTAGTGGGATAGCAGTTTTCAACTCGTGTCTTCGGTGTTTCGGGTGTTTTTGTTGTTGCTGTTTCATCATATTTGGACGGTTTCATCAATTAATGTATATAATTGTTTGTTTCATATTCTTTTGTTTGATTCTTTGTTTTTGTTTTGTTCTTGGTGGTTGTCAATTCAGTGCTGAATAAACTGGTCCATATTTTGTATTTGTGGTTGTGTCACTGTGTTGTGTATGCGAATTACAAGAACTAAGTAAAACCGTTTCGAGCAGGGAAGTTATTTAATTGTGGGGGACGACGACGGGGGTAAAAGAAATCGAATTCGAGTTATTTTAAAAACAGCACCTACCTTGTGCCCCATGCGCATATTGTTTTATTTAGAGTTGAAAACTACGCGGCAGTACAAATCAGAAAAAATAGGGCGGAGGAGCAATCAAAAGAGATTTGCAAAATATTTGCTATGAAATCGAAAATAATTCAAATCAAATGCAAAATTGTGCCGAACTAAGGAGCGTTCTTCAGTTCGCTTTTAACAACCATACAATATATAATCAATTTGCGTTTAACGAAATTTAGCTAGTTCCATATTTGATTTCCAATGTTTTTCAAACAAAATCGTGTGTAAAATTGCGACTAAAGTTTTCAAGTTTCTTTTGGCTAATTGCTCGAATTGTTGAACACAAATCAAATAAAAACAATTTGGCTAGGATTCTTCTTCTCAAATGAACCACACTTATCTTAACTCAACTCATTGCTTAGGCTACGATGGCCTAGCACATATTTTACATACGTTTCTTCTTCTTTTATAATATATATATTTTTTTCTTTTTCAAGGTTTTCTATTTGTTTTTAACAAATGGGGATTATGTTTTGTTAGCAGTTTTGTTCAGTGAAAGTATTCTGGGTTTTTTCCTCTCGTTTCAGGTTTACCTCAAATTTCAATCATCATTTGTTATGCCTAAATTGTAAAATCGTTTGAATCGGCCTTATAAATTTCGATATGTTAAAAATTCAGGATTTAACAATTTGGCATATCGTTTTTTGGTATCGAGTTTTTAGTTCATTATTATGGTAATTTGTTACTCTTTTCTTTTTTTTTTTCTTTAATTCAAAATAATAAGAACTAAAATGGGCGTCGGGCGTAAGGCTGTGCGTTGCTAGGATGTGGCTTGTTGCGAGTTTTCTATAGTTTCTCTTTTAAACAAATTATTTGTCACGTTTCAATTCCTGTAAAAACACATAGTTCATAATACATATATCTTCGATTTGCCATGTCGTGTGTCAGATAATTAAGATGATGAGATGAACCAAAAAAATACAATTGCTAAATAATTTTACATATACATATATATATTTATATCAAAAAAATCGAGCGCGCGTATTACAAACTTTGGGCACACAATAAACGCGTTAAAAAATAACAACAAAATTTAAATATTAAATAAAACAAATTAAACATACACATACATATATATATATATATATTTTTATATATACATATCGAAATATATATATATAGATATATAGATTGTTTGCTTTAACTCATAAGAAATAAAAAATTAAATTATATTTTTTAAATTAACATTTAAAAATCCATATTGAATGGTCTCTTCTTACGATTGTTATTCAGTTTATATATATATAAATTATATAGCTACCAAGTTGTATTTGTTACTGTTATTAATTTAGCTTGTTTATATATTTAGATTTTTATTTTAAGTGTATATTATTTACTTGTTTATGCACTAATTAGGAGCTTCAAGATCGTTGTTGCTTTAAGTTCTTAAGAAAATAAATTGTTTGATTTAATTAACGAGATTTTCTCTTCATTTCATTTAATTTTTTCTATGCTCTTTTCCATAAATCATTAAATTAAGTACAATTATACTTAATTATAGAAAAATATTTTACAATTTATACGATTTACAACAATTTACATAAGAACTAATAAAAAAATAGAAAATAGATGAAAAACTAAACGAATCAAATGAGCACAAAAATTGCAAATAAATTAGTTAGAAATGAGTTTCTTTTTTTATTGTTAAAGCAATAATTGCACATTAGAATGAGAAATATATGTGTATGTGTGTATTGTTGTTGTTTTTGTGGGTGTGTGTATTGTGTGTGTGTTTGTATGAAAAATTCGTTTAACGGCTCTATATAGCATATAGTATTCGTTGATTTGCATTTTAGAACATAGAACTTCGCCCTGCTTAATATACAGACTGTCTAAAAATTAGAAAATAATATATTTAAAAAGTGTTTGCTTTTTGTTTTAGTTTTTATAACTAGCTGCAGTTGCTTTAAAATAAATGAAAATAATTATTTTATTATATGTTTATTATTGTTTCTTTTTTTTTTCATTTTCATTTTATCATTAATCTAACATACGCCTTTGATATGGTTGTTGTTGTTGCTTTTATTGCTGATATTTTTCTTTTTCATTTTTCTTTATAAATTTTAAATAATTACTTTTTGTTTTAATGCGTCACGCCAAAAATTACTTGGAGTTGTGAAATGTTTGGCTCTCTTGTCTTAAAACGCCTCAAAAATATGCATTTATTTTTATTTTATATTTTTAATTTTTTAGCTTTTATGTATGGTTTTTACTTTTTATATGCCTGTCTCAAGTTCGCTCTGCACTTAATATACTTTTTTAGTTGTCGCTTTTTACATTTAGTGTAAAATTATAATTAATATTAATTTAAATACATATACAGCTCATACATATAAATTTATGCCTTTTGTTTTAACCCTTCTTGTAAATTAAGCACATAAATAATGTTAATGTTCTCTTGTCTTTTTGTCGTTTTTATTTTAATATATATATATATATTTAATTTAAATAAAATTCATAATTTAAAAACAAAGAAAGAAAAAAAAACGTTGGCTTGTGCAAGTTCTCTTTTTCTTTTCCCTTTTGTTTTACGTTTTAGAAATAAAGTTAATAAATTTGATTTAAAATTGCTAAATTTTTGGTTTAATTTTACACGTTTTGCGCTCTCGCAACATTTAATTTAGTTTTTTGTTGTTTTTTTTTTTTTTAGTATTTTGATTTAATATTTTATTTTTAGCATCAGATTTTTGTCTCACACGTGAAATACTTGTCGAAATATTGTCCAAAGAAATTTGTTGTTGCATTTGTTTTTATCCCATATATAATCTAAATAAATGATATATAATTAACTAAAATATTTTATATATATATTTTATATATATATATATATATATATATATATATATATATATATATATATAATATAATGTAGTTGAAAAAGTCGGTTGATTTTTGTTTTCATTTTTTCTTTGCATTTTTTGTGTGTGTTTAATATATGTTTTTATTATAATATATTATAATTGCATATTACATTGTTTACAATTTGTTGTTGTTTGTAATGATTGATGATGTTGTTTTTGTTGTTGTTGGTTGATGTTGTTGTTGTTAATGTTTTTCTAGAATTTCATCAAGTGCAACACACACGAGAAACTTTACAAACTCAAAGCAAGAAAAAACGAAACATTTATTTATTTTTTGATGTTCTTGTTGTTGTTGGTTGTATGTCAATGTTTTGGTGTTTGTTTTAGTTTTAAATTTGTTGTTTTTGTTTTGTTTTGTTTTGAATGCAACTAAACAATTTATAACCTAATTTTTATTTTTTGCTATTCTTTCACAATTTTAATAACATTTCCTTGTTTGGGGACGCAAACGCATGTAAAAAGTGCTTAAGTTTAAATGTGTGACAGTGTGTGTGTGTGTGTGTGTGTGTTTGTGAGAGTGTGTGAGGGAGCGAGCGGGTATGTGTGTTGCTTTTGAACGACGCCATTTTGTAGATGAATGTGTTGGGATTATGTTTAATTGTGATTCGATTTAGACTTAATTCCTTTTAAATACAAGTAAATGGCGCGTTGAAAAGTTACATGCGTTTGCGAATTGTGTAAAGATTTCTTTATTTAATATATTTATAAATATATTTTCGTATTAGTTTAAGTTTAAAGTTAGTGTGTGTGTGTGTTTGTGTGTATATATATGTGTGTCAGTTTGGTTGTCAATTATTCAATTTAAGCATATGCATATGCAATCAGATCTGTTGCTGTTTCTTGTTTTTCTTGACTACCACAGTTTAGTTGTTCGTTCCATCAAGATATTTGTATATAGATATATATATATAGAATTATGTGTTCAATATTCATATTGTTGTTGTTGTTGTTGCTGCCGAAGTGTGGGGATCTGCTTCTGTTCCCGTCGCGCTCCAATATGCTCCATAATCAATTATACGCCTCCTGTATTGTTTGTTTGTGTTGGTTGTTGTTTGTTGGTTGTTGTAGCTGTTGTAGTTTGTTGTGTCGTTTAGCTGGTTGTTGTTGGCTGCTTACACAATGGTAATCAAATCTCAATTGTAAATCTCCACCTTGACATCGCCGTCATTCTCCTTCTCGATCATGCCCTCGTTGGCCGCATTGTTCCAGGCCCCGTTCATGCTCTTCGACGAGGAGAAGCACAGCTTCATGATGAAAGGGAATTTAGTGCCTAAAATTTTGTTGTTGATGTTGGATTTTGTTTTTTTTTTTTTTTTTTTGGTTTGTTTGTGTCGCAGGATTGTGGTTGGTGGACATACCGAAAAAATAAAGAACGGGGTGAAAAGAAATGCATAGTTATAGAATAAATGGGGTTCCTTCGTTGCTAATAAATGTATTTTCATAGTATTGTTGTAGTAATGTGTATAAGTGTTGTATATCTGAATCAAGTTATTTGCTTTTCGCAGAGTTTCGTGATGAATGATTGATGGGAGGTCGGTTGGGAGGGACGAAGGCGGATAAGAGATGAAGGAGGTGGAGTTGGGGATATCGGCTATATAGAAAATGGCTATTTAATTTCCACTTTGTTGCACAATCAGGACCAAAGTTGACCATCTTAATGGCAATAAAAGCCATCGAGCCTGAATTTATATGAAGCTGCATGCAATTAAAAATCATTGTGATGCTGATAATACCCTATAATAGCAAAGTGGGGCTAGACTGACGCCGTCTGTACCATTACCAATAGAATAGATATGAAACTGATATACCCTGCTGCTACTCCTAAAAAGGGGCACAGCGAAAGGACTTGGCAAACGCAATAGATCGTTAAGGTACTTGGTAAACCGACTAAGCGAGTTTTATGTGCCAATTAAATGCGGGCACCATCATAAAAATACTTTGGGGTCCAATGCAATCAAAATCATTCGAATGTAAAAATTGCCAACCATCAGCAGAGCACACACACACGCACGCACATAAATCTATAAGCATGCTTTAGTGAGGAGAAAGCGTTAAAAATATTTTGCTAGATGCATAATTTGTGCAGCCTGAAAGTATGCAGCGGCATCTGTTTACATTTAGCATTTGCTGTGTGCACGCGCGTCTGTGGGCAATACGTGCGTGTGTGTGCGTGTGTGAAGTGCGTACGTGTGTGTGTGTGCTATTCGAGTGTATTTGCATTCCTTACATTTTTAATTACTATTTACCATGCACTCGAGCGGGCCCTCGATGCTGCAGCAGCAGCAGCAGCAACAGCAGCAGCAGCAGCGCTGCCAGCAGCAGCAGAAATGCATCAACATCAAATATGCAAACAACACCCACCAAAATATTGACAAAATACATATGCACACACACATACACAATAAAACATATATACACTACATATATATTTATACACGCACACGAGAGTTGGCATTGCCTGCTCTGCTCTCTGCGCTCTCCTCGCCCGTCGCACAAAACTTTCTCGCAAGGCTTTGCTATTTGCATAAAAGATTTTTACGCTAGGTGTAAACAATGATACCAGAATATACCCTTGTGCACCACACAGCACCTGTGAAAAGGTGTGCCAATGCCAGGCCAATGCATGCAAATTATTCGGGGCAGTGCATATTAAATGCGAATACGAATGCGAATGAGAATGCGAATGCGAATGCGAATGGGAGTACCAGGTCCTCATGTCCTCTAAAGCACGCAGCTGATAATAAATAGGTTAACATGCTCCAGTCGAATAATATTTCTAGTATTTGCAGAGAGTGCAGAGCAGGAGCACTTGAAATGAAAGGCCATTGAATTTTGGTGCAACATATATCGAATAGATTTGAACTCAGGCTTTAAGTGCTTTACATGAGAAATAGAGATTTATAATGGAATCGTTAGCAGAAGGTATTGCTTGCCATATTGTTTTTAATCGAGACTCAAAACCAGGAATAGTAGAAAAAAATACTAGAGAGGAGCTATATATATATAGATAAAGGATGTGATTCTGAAGCATTTATAACCGTAATATTTCTATGCAAGTATATCCCTATCTACTACCTTTTAAAATGTGAGAATATTATAAAAAAAAAAAAATTAAACCTGCGTTGGTTACTACGATAAAGATTGCCTATCGAACGACTCCACCACTCAAACCAATTCTACGAACTCGATGCCAATCTAGAAATATCCATTTTCAATTTAAAAACTAGTTTCTATTGCAAACAAGTTTTCTCGGAAAATCAGCTGTACTGTAGGGTTGGATTTATCGCTGTTTCGTAGTAAAAATCCCATTGAACAAAACCTCAATGCAATAGCATAGCAACAACAAGTAACTGACATAAGAACTTTGGCAATGAAAGGGAATCAGAGGTATCGCATATTTCTGGGAAAAATATGTAAGAGCAATCGAAGAGAAAGGTATTTCACAAATACAAACAAAACTGGGCCAATCAATTGGAAATCAAATGTTGATTATTTTATGAACATTTACTGTAAATTTATTAGGCCATGTTGACAAGGTAAATAAAGGCGAGCAGCACGAAAACAAATGTAAACATCGTAATAATAATCGTACTTTTCTGCTCAAAAAGTATTTATGGCAAAAGTTTAATGGGTAGAACGAGGCAAAGGACATAAAACGGGCAGGAGCAGCTGTAGCAGCAGCAGGAGAAGAACTCGCCACAGGGGTAAATGTTGTAATTGCTTATGCCGTGAGAGAGATTGCGGCCGCCTCAATAAAAATAACTGGCTACCGAAATTGTTTATCTTAATTACCAAATTAAAATTTTCAGCGCGACTCGCAACTGGGAAAACTTTGATGCTCTGCTGATGGTATCAGTTGCCTAGTCTGGGAAGGAAGTCTAATAAAAGTTTTCTGAATTGGCGGTAGGGTGTTGTTGGGTGGTTCTATATGTGGATGATGGGGAGTGTAATGGTGGTTTGGTTTGGTTACGGTTTGGTGTGATGGTTCAAGCGGGCCGGCAACAGAAGTCAAGAGGCCATTCCGGGAATGGCGCCCAAACTTTTGCATATTGCCCGCTTTTTGGGGTTTTTTCTTTTTTGGTGTGGGAAAATGTGGATATTTTTTTTTTCTTTTTTTTTTGCGAAAATTTTGTGTAACTTTTGATTTTTCAATTTTTGTTGTTGTTTTTTTTTTTTTTTTTTTGATTATTTTTACTGGCCATATGCATAAAATTTTCGAATAGCCAACTTTTAAATTTGTGCTTTTCTTGCTTTTTTTTTTGTTTCTTTTTTTTCGTAAAACACTTAAACACAGCACTATCTCACCTTTACCCTCAATAGGCAGATGGTTGCACTTCATGATGGCGAGCACGGCCTGCGAGATGTTGGGGAATTCGATCAGCCCCGAGGAGGAGCGCTCTGTCTTCAAGGGGAAGAGACGCACGGATGTGGCTGGCACCTCCTTAATGTTGAATATGCCAATGAGCTGGTCTTCGGTGAGACCGGGCGGTGTGTTGAAAAAGTGCAAGATCTAAAGGTAAATAGCAAAATAGCAAATAGATGATTATTTAGTTAAAAATATCAGAAATTTGGCTGCTTGGCTCTTACTTTGCTCGGTGGTTGAATGCGATTCTTGCTGGCCTGTGCCGGTGATAGGAAACGATTGTTTTTGGAGCCAGTGTACTCCTTGAAGCTGGGTGTATGATCCGGCAGCAAGAATGGATTGATCACCTCCGATAGGAAGTTCTGCTTTGAGAATGCAATCTGTATTTTGCCGCCAGTGCCAACGGGAATGTTATTCAAGTGCTGAACGCAACGCTCGACGGCAACCGAATCGCCCATTTGTACCATGGCGGTGCCCTCCTTTGTCTTCAAGAACTTGATCTGTAAAACGCAAGTGGAGAGAGTAGATATTTAGATATTTGAGTAATATGATTTGAAAGTAAAGAGTAAAGTAGAGGTGTTGAAATAATAATAATAAAAATAATAATAAAAAAAAAAAATAATAATAATAATAATAATAGCAATAATAATAACAATAATAAAAATAATAATCCGTGAGTATGTATGTATGTATTTGTTAGCTAACATATCTGCATTTCCTTCATGTCCCTTTGGGAGGAACCATACTAGTTCTATTTCCAAATGCGAGGAGTTCACCTCGCTCCTCACAAATCTTTCGTTCTTATTAAAAGGGTATTAACTTCTCCCTCTGACCAAACGTAACTCTCCCGTCCTCATCCCTTCACTTCACTCAACATGACATCTAACCTTCCTAGCTCTGCTTTCATTATGTCATTTTGGCATTTCAGCTACAGTTTACACACATAGCTTCACATGCTTCAAGCCACAAAACTATTTCAATGACAACGTGCAGAGCAGTCAGCTGTCCAGTTCAGCAACTGTCACCGCAATTTGTGTCGCAAATGTAAATAAATGCAATTATGTTGCAGCTGCACACTTACGTCCACTTATATTCAATTCTAAACATGGCCGGAACACCTGCTAACCGCAAACCCCATCCACGCCACATCAGGCACTGGAGACACTCATCGACTGTCACAGTCGAGTGTTGACCTGTCGTTTGCCATTTGATTGAATTTTCTCCAGCAATGTGTTTTGTGTGTGTGTGTATGTGTGTGTGGGTCTTAACCCTACTACCCTTGTGCTTAGCCGAGACAGAAGCTGTTACTCTTGCCGAACATCTGTGTGTGTGTGTGAGTGTGTGTGTATTTTTATTGAATTCAATTTAAAATTTAGTCCGAAATCAAATTATCAAATTGAATGACACCCTTAATTTGCTGTCCATTGTGGGATCTGCCGATGTGTCCCTATTGTTCAATTATATCTATATTATATATACCTATATATACAATAAATATTTCTCCGCATGTACGTGATAAACTATCAGAAGGATTTCAAACTGGCAAAGGATTGACAGGTTGTTCGTTTAAGTTAACTCGACAAGATTTCATTTAATTTAGACTGATTTCATTGTTCAATTATCATTAGGAAAATCTTGCATACATGATTTTCAGCATTTCCTGAATAAAGTTTTCCTCTGCGATAGTTGAATAAGCCTCAATTGAAAACGTTTATTTATGCGCGGTTTCTGGCTGCAAAGATCCATGTGGTTTCCGCAAATGTTATTTATGGCTGGATTGCATCGCGCGCTTTCCAAACTAATTGTTAACATAAATATGTATAAGCCCTCAACTATTTGCGGCTACTGCCAACTGCTAGCCGGGCCTTTTGGCTGCTAAACCTCGTTAAGTTAATTAGCCATAATAGCCAAATGCGAGTGAAAGTGAAAAATCTATGGAAAATATGTTTGCAGTTTTGGTTCGCTGATCGTTTGGCTAGTAGTAGTAGTTGTTGTTGCTTTTGTTGTTGCTGCCGTTGCTGCTGCTGCTGCTGTGAGGCAATGAACTCGTTAAGTGAAAACTGGTTTTTGCACCTGCACTAAAATTGGCAGCGCTCAATTTTTGGTCTGTTTTTGTTATTGCCAAATGCATTTCCTATCGCTTTGGCTTTAATTGTCATTTTGAATGGCTGCTGTTAATTTGCTGGGTTGGTTTTTGATTTATTTAGCCGCAGTAAAATAGGAAAATGCCTCACTTGGGCCAAAACTACTGAGTTATAACTGCGGGCATTTGTGCCACACATAATTGCAGGCTGTTTCGGTCTTGGCCCGTTTTTTCCACTTGAAAGTGACAGGCTAAATTGTTTTGTCTGCCCCTTGCTTTAGTTTGCTGTCTCTTTCTTGTTGCTGTTGTTGTTGCCAACAAGTAGCAGCAGCAGCAGCAACTCCCCAGTCAACAGCAACAATTGCCAAGAAAAACTACGGCAATCAACTCAAGTGCCGCAATATTTTCTCAACAAGACATTTAGCTGAGAAGTGGGGCTCGGCTTAAGATAAATACAAAAAAGCAACGAAAGGAGCTTATAATAAAGATAATATGAATAATATAATTTGAAGACAATCTTATTATGCGAGGTGAAACTTATAGTGTGTTAAATAATTTAATTAAAATAACTGAATATATATTTATTTCTAAATTTTGACAGAAGAATTCACTATATTTGTCATATTTTATTATTAAAACAAATATATTATATAAAATAATTTATATTATTTATTTTAAATATTTTATGAATATTTTGAATTTTTATTCACTGTCATTTACGTAAATATTATATATTTTATTTCAATTTATTTTTTAGTATATAAAATACACATGGGGAAATTTTATACAAATTTTTAACGTTTGTTTGTATTAATATTGATTTTATATATATTAAATTTATTTCATTATCTTCCGCTTCTAACCTTACATCAAACTTGTAGCTGCTTAGTAGAGATTTTCCTATCAACATAAAATATGCATTGTTTAACTTGCAAGTTAAACCTAAGCCACAAAAAAAACTAAAACAAAATGTGAGTATAATTAACTAGTACATAATTTAAATTGCTTCCCAAAAAAAGAATGAGGAACAGATTATAGAGTGCAGAAAAAATAAACAGAGAAAAGGTTGCTATCAAGCCAAATACAGAACAGACAACGGAGCAGCAGCTGTAGCTTATTCCATTCCCATAAATATATCGAAGGGCATAGATATATACGCTTGAGTGAAACAGGAATACGAATGCGAATAAAACATGACCAGAGGCAGACAGAGATAGCCGAGAGCGAGAGAACGAGAGAGAGTGAATGAAAACTAAATGAGGCTTATCGAAAGGTAGGCCCACAACAACACGCTTGGCTAGAAATCATATAAAAATAAAGCCCCAAAAATATATAAATAAATATAAACCATAAATCAGTGAGGCAGAAAGCGTGCAGATAGGCGCTGCCAATTCCCAGGCCCGGCCAGACACACACAGCCTAAAACAAAAGGCATTTTTATGCGAGACGAGAGAGAGAGAGACAGAAAGCAATGGGACAGTGGAGCAGTGGAGCTGTGGAACAGTGGGAACTCGGTCAGGGCATATTAAGAGGCGAACACGCAAAACAGGCGCCAGGACAATCACAAATCAAAGAGCGCTGCTCGCTCCTCATGGCTCACTGGCCAATGGTCAGAGTGGAGCAGAGCGGGGCAAAGCTGCCCCAAGTGAGTGGGCGACTGAGTGGGGCGAGCGAGTGGAGCGACAAACATTTGGTGCGTGCCTAATGAGCTGTGCTGTTAGCCAACCGCCCCCGCCCGCCCTTTGCCCAGTGCGCGCCCTTTCAACCTCGGCTAACCAACAGACGCTCGAGCCTCTCTCTCCTGATCTATAAATGACAATTTGGTATCAGTTACTTTCATGCGTATGCTGCGTTAATTAAAAACAATGCCTAGACCAGGGAGTAGGGGCGAAGGATGATGTGACCTGAGATACCCTATATTTTAAGCACTCTTTGCAACGATTAACATATTGTTGTTAATAGCATTAAATTGTGTGTAAATTATGATTACATTGAAGGCTACTGAACCTGGCTCTCATATACCCTTCTGGGAGCTCAGCATACCCCTTGCTACCCTGGGCTCACGTTCTTTGTTCTGCTGCTCAATGTGGCGTGGCGTCTGCTGCCATTTGATTTAATTGCTCACGCGGCAACAACAATAGAAAGAATATTGGCTGCAGCCCGAATGCTTCTGTGTCCAGGCCAGGTTTACTTTCACAATGGGCATATCTATACCACCCCCCCCTGCCCACTATTCCCAAGGGGCAGCCCCAAAAGCACAACACTCCTACGCTCTCTCTCCAGGCCCAAAATCGAGCCAAATGCTTTTTTAATGCGCATTTAATTGAGTGCGTGTGATTGCTGTAGCAGGTCGTCGTCCTGTTGTTGTAGTTGTTGTTGCTGCTGTTGTTGCTGTCGCTTTTAAAGACATTACCAATTTGGTCGTGTGCAACAGCGAGCTGCGCTGCTGTTGGCCTCTCGCCTCGTATTTGTCAAGCCATTTAACCTGAAAATCAATTTGGACGATGACTTCATCACGGCACCTACAAAAAATATAATTAAATCGACTGCCAGGCGGCGTTGAGCTCGTTACTTAAATTGTTTTTAATCTCATTTTTCTTCTTTTTTTCCTTTTTTTTGTGAAGCAACTTGGCTGGAAAAACTTTTTCATAAAATATGCAACACACATCGTAGACATCAGCAAAATGTAGTTGGATATTCGCTTTGAAGTATGCCTTGGAAATTACAGGCAGGCAAAGGCAAAGGACGAGGCTGAGGCTGAGGCGAAGGCAGAGACTGAGGCAGTTAGTCAGAGTCAGAGTCAGTTTAAATTGGATGAGACTTGGAGTCAGGTGCAAGCATAGCAAGTGCAGGGTATAGATAGAGAGAACTGGTGGGTTGATTGCGTCTAAGCCAAAACGGGATAAACGAATCTCAGCTTTTTTCCGTTAGGCTGGGCTAAGCTAATGCTTAGCCAAATCCTATCAGGCTTGATTTATGGCAAGTGCGTGATTTCTGTGTCCTAGATACAATATTGATTGCGTTTTGAGTTTATTTAGGGCAAGGCAATTGTATGAATTGAATTTCTGGATTTTATTTTATTGGAATTCTATTCTATGTGAATTCATAAATAATTTAAACTATAAAAAAAATTGTTTTGGATGTTATTTTTCTGAGAAATAGATTTTGGAATTTTCTAGGCCTTGTTATATGATAATTAAAACATGGAATAACAAATTACTATATTCAAAGAAATTAGTGTTGTATTGAATATCGATTTATAAAAGATCGTGTTCTCAAAAAAAATATTTTAAATTTTTTATATATGCAGAAGTTTTAAGAATTTCTGTAATTTATTTAAAATCTCATTCGAGGTATTGAAAGGAAACGTGAGAATTTTTTGATTCAGCTCGTATAAGGAAGATATTAAACCTAATTTTTTATGAAAAGTATTCACCTGACTTAAGGATCTCTGGACCTCTTTAGCATGCTCCAAGTGACTGAAAAAAGATTAATCGGAAGCGAGCCGAACCACGTATATATTTCATGTTGCTTTGTCAATATTGATTTTAAGGAGTTGAGCCCCACGTAGAGCGCATTCATGATTCTTTATGCAAGGCACACAGAAGTATTTTTATCGCTAATCTACAGCACATGCCTTTAAAATGTGATTCGACTGTGGGTGGGAAGAAAGAGCTCCTCCCCTCTAATCCCTTAGGGACACACATTAACACCAAAGGCAACGGCAGAAGCTGAGGCAGAGGCAGAGGCGGCGGCGGCCTCAGGTTCATGCAGCACTTTGATTGAGTGCCCATCAATTTCCCATTCGCAATTCAAACATGTCGGACATAAACTGATGCGAGCACACACGCAGAGAGGGAGAGAGATAGAGAGTTGAAAGAGAGAGAGAGAGAGAGTGAGCGTATATAGACTGCACACACATATGTTGGTTTATAATGAGCACGTGTATGGCTTCTTTAGCGAGGCGTGTAACAGACAGAGAGAGAGAGAGAGAAAGAGAGAAGCAGTGGGCAATCTCCTACTGTCTGACATTGTGTAAGCTGCAGCAGCAGCAGCAGCAGCAGCAGCAGCATGCTTTGTGGCTTAAGAGTTCTCGGTCGCAATGAATAATGTTTGCGCATAATCATTTTTAATGGCTAATGAGTAGTTTCCGTCTCGGACAGGAAGTTCGTAATAAATCTCACCAACACACAACAACAACTAAATTGCCTTTGCCTGGGCGCATTATCCCTTGTCCTGCTCCTGCTGCTGCTGCTAGCGCTAAGCCCAACTATCCAACAATCCAACTATTTTGCCCTGATTCCTGCCTTTCCCTACTCCTACTCCCCCTACTCCTGCTGCTGCTGCTGCTCCTGCTGCTGCTGTTGACCAACGTCCAAGGCTGGCTGCCTGTCAGTTTGCTTTTAGCTCAACTATTTTTTTGTTTTGCGCGTAAATTGCATTTAATTGTAGAAGGGCGTGCGCAAGCACCCAAGGCGTGGCACCACAGTGTGTGACTGCCCTGAGTGTGTGTGTGTGTGAGTGTGAGTGCGCGCTTGAAGGTTGTTAAATAATTGGCTAATGGAGTGCAATTGTTGAAAAATTGGCTGGCGGCGAAAGCTGCGATTTTATGAAGTGGAAACTGCGTTTTAGATAAAAACAAGAAGTGTTGCCACCATGTCCATATGTTGCCGAGATAAGCTTCGTGGCACATCAACCAAATATATCTATAGAGTTAAGAATATTTTAATTTAAAAGCAGAGTATGAAAATTGATGAAAGATTTACTATAGAAAGTCTGGCAAGGATATCTGAGTTATTTAATCTGCTAATTAGCGTAGTAATATTTTAAATTTTATGGAGTTGCCAGAGATTAGGCAGCTATAATTTGTAGGCAGATATAATCAAGACCTGCCAGATGGCATAATGCTTGTGAAGAGTTTTGTTCATATTAGATTCTATTTAAATGTTTGACAAATTATTGAAACTTTAACACTGACATTTTGGACAAGCGTTGCCATATTACAATAAGAAACTAATTTTTGAGCTATATTATTCATACAGTTTCTAAACATTATCAAGGCTGTTTTATATTATAAGCCAATGAGAATAATAGTTGACAAGTTGCCAGATAACATAAATTTGTAATTGCCATATCAAAGAATTATTTTATCCATTGTTAATTTAAAACAAGGTTAAACAAGCCCAATCGTTTACCTAACTTAAATTCCATAGAGTTCCCATAGTTTATACAGCTATTGTATTTGCAATAACTGCCAAAGGGCAAATCACATGATGAAACACAAACATTTTCTAATGGAGAGTTAGAATAAACTTCATAAGAATAAAGATTGAGAGATCATGCCAATTTTATAATCTAGTTTGACAAATATCTAGTTTACATTATCAAATAAGTAATCAACGTTGCTAAGCTCTCCATCTACTTGCTTTAAACCCCAAGCTTGCTCCCTCTCTTGCTTAACTATGCTTGAACTTTAAGAATCACACACTCGTGACCTTTCACCTATTCCTATTCCGTATTCCCTAGCTCGAGACACTAATTCAAGCTTTTTATTTTCGACTCCCTCGCGCTCTATTCCCGCTGTCGCCCGGTGCCCGTTAAGGAACTCGCGGGATTCGCGCTTTGCTGCAAGCATTAAACTAAACAAAAGCCGCGCGCAACTTGGATTTTGTTGTTTTTTTTTTTTTGTTGTATTTTCGTTTTACTGTTCTTGTTGGGTTGCAATTATCAAAGGACTTGCAGAGCGCGCAACTGTTAGTGGCAATAAAGTGAAAGCGAATCCTCAGTTGTTAGCAGGAAACTTCCACTTCCACTTCCACTTCTACTCCGTCTTCATTCCCTTTCTTGCATTAGCTTTATTAACATTTTGGCTTTGATGTTTCGCGGGTCCAGTTCATTTCGCTTTTGCTTTCTCTCTGCTTTTTTAGGTTTTTTTTTTTTGAACGCCACTGTGAGTGGCAGGGAGTGTGATTCACAATAGTTGCGCGCTAAATGCTCTCCAAGCGTCCACTTCAATTGTCACTTGGGCAAAGGTGGAGCCGCGTCTGCCCTCTCCTATTATTAATGGATGATTTTTGTGGCATATTTTGATTTACTTTTCAAGCGAGAATTGTTGCTCGCAGCGCCTTTTGTGGCACTTCCGAAATGGAATCAATTCCTGTCGCATCTTTTATTCTTCCTTCTTCGGTATTAGTATGTGGCGAAAGCAAAATGATGCTGCATTGATTGCTGCCCGAGGACCTCTACGCGCTCTCTACGCCTTCTACTTTCACCAATTTCTTTATGCTCGCCCCTCCCTCTCCTCTCTCGCATCTTTCTCTGCACATGTGTCTGGGGCTTTAATCTAAAACGCTTTATCTAAATGTGTTTTGGTTGTGGACCAACTGTCCCACGTTTGTATGTGCCTAAAGGGCATTCGGCTTCTGTGTCCTGTGTCCTGTGTCCTGGCTTGGCCTTTGCTTTCAATTTTATTGCCTTTCGTTTTATTTGCGCATTTACAAATGGAGCAATACTCACACACACACACACATACGCACACACATTTAGTATACACTCTTGCGGTTTTTGCGGCCGTTAGCAACACCTTTTTTTTAACGGCCTCTTAGAGAACGACTAAACATGAAACGGCGTCTCGCTTTTTTCGTGTCATCTTGCTAAGTGCAAGTTTAAGAGCTGCTGCCCTCCCCCCGGTCCACTGCTGGGAGCAGCAGCAGCAGCTCCGCCTACTCCTCGTGTCTTTAAGTGGCAATTGAAGAGATTTAAGTTGAGTAAAAATAAAATAAATTCCTCTTTAAATTTGCAGTTGCTCTCGCACTTTTATGAGCCACTGTCGCACGGCCGTCAAACTAAAGAGTTTCTAGCAGTTTTATTCACAAGTTTTATTATGCAACTGCAGCCAGTTTTTTTCCTGCGTTTTTTATGTCAAGTTTCATTTGAAATTTGTCTAAATTATTTCATAACTTACTCATAAATTATTTATTTATTTAAGTATAACTACTTCCCACATTTTTAGAATTTGCATTGATTTATTTTTAAGTAGTGCAATTAGTTTCAGGTTTCATTGAAAAAAGATTAGAAATATTTTCACTAGATATATCAGACAGCATACTCAAATATCTAAATAAATATTATACTTTACATTATTTTCATAAAATGGCATCTTAAGTTACAGCTAATACACAGATAAGGAAATGCTTGATCTAATATATAAAGATTTTCCTTATTGTAGGTCGCTTTACATGATCTGTTTTCCTATATAGATTTCCTTATAAAGATCATGGAATGCTCCACTGACCCAACTAACTATAAGTTTATTCCCATTTCCCTTTCAGATTATCTACGTTTCCCACAATAAAAATTGATATATAATTAATTAATATATCACTGCTAGGCTTATCTCTGCCTAAGATCTTAAATGTTTAACAAATTAATTGAGTGAGAACTTACCCGGGCAACATTGCCATAGAGGCAGACCAAATTGAAGAGCTTATCTGTGTTGGAAGTGTCATGGTCCATGCCATAGACCATCATGACAGCGCCCTGAGGATGCAAAAAAGGCAAGAGAAAAAACGCAACAACAAATTAATTAAAATGCTGTCCAACAGATGCTGCAGCAGCTCCACACAGCTCCACAACGGCACAGCGGCAGCTGGAGGGGATTTGTGGGGCTGTGAGCGGCTACGGCTGTGGCTTTCGCTCTGCCTCTGGCGCTGGCTCAGACTCTGGCGAGGATTGCAGTGTGCGCACAAATTGTACATTAAAATTAAAATTATATTTATGAATAGAAATGCAAGCCAAGCCAAGCCAAGCCAGGCCAAGAGAGAGAGAGAAAGCCAAAGGGGCGGAGGTGCCTCCAGTTCATTTCGATACTCACCTGTGCCTGGCCCTGCTGGGCGAAGGCCACTGGCGCATTGCGTCCGGCGACGACACCGGTGGGCTCCTTCATGAGGCCAGTTGGATGGATGGCGGCGCCCTTCCAGTTGTCCGGCTGGGTGGGATGGTATTCGGGTGCCCCGAATGGTGGGAAGGCGGTGCCTGGTCCCAATAGTGGAGGCTCTTTAAATGGAACAAGATTGTGCGTTTGAGCTGGGGCAACAAGTTGTTGTTGATGGTGTTGTTGTTGTTGTTGGTGATGATGTTGTTGTTGGTGGTGGTGTTGTTGTTGGTGGTGGTGGTTGTTGTGGTGGTGGTGGTGGTGGTTGTTGCGATGTTGTGTTTGGATTGTTGCAACTACATTTTGTGGTGCACGTTTCAAACAGTTTGTTATTCACACATTGCATGCAACAACAATTTAAACAAGAATCGAGAAACCAACGAAATAAAAATAAAATAGAAAAACAAAAAAAACGCATAAAAATATTAATAAAAAGCTTAAATTAAAAAAAATTAAAAAATATGCTAAAAATTATATGCAGATTTCTATTTTATTCTCGTCGTATTGTTGTTGTTGTTGCTGTTATTGTTGTTGCATGCAAATTGTGTTTGTTTGTTTGCCTGTTGTTGTTGTTGTTGTTGAAGCGCCAAAAAGTTGTGAAACGAGGCTGAGAACAAAATTCGTTTTGACTGCGATTTATTAACGAGGAGCAATAACCTGAATTGGCAGCTGGCGGTTCGCGGCTCGCGGAGAGGGGGGAGGCAGAGAGCAGAGCGAAATGCGGTTGCTGAAAAACTAAGCTAATTGAAAAAAGTCGGCGCTTTGCGGAAAACAAACGAAGGCTCCAAAAACCAATGGAAATTGCAATAAAACTACGCAGAGCAAAGCCAAAGCCAAAGCCACAGGCAAAACATCGCCGCAATCGATAAAATTCTAGCAGCAACAGTATTTGCGAGGGGAGGGAGTAAGGGGTGTGGGTCCTCGAAAACTGTCAACATGCTAAGCCCACGCAATAACCCATTGACAGGGCCAATAACAACAACAACAACAACAACAAGGCTGCGCAAAGATTTACGGCCCACTTGAAACGCGGCCAGAACCGCAAAACCAAAGCCTCAACTGAAACTCTGGAGCGTTATAATTAAAGCAAGAAGCGTAACAAGCTGTCAAAATGTTGCGTATACGCCGTGTGTAGCCGTTTCTGCACGGCATTAAGTTGCCAAGGTTTTTACTTAATTAACTTTTAACACACATGTATGGAGAAGGAAGAGGAGCATAAGGAGCAGGAGCAGCAGGAGCAGCAGGGTGAGTCGAAGTTGCATCAGTTGTTTAACGCCATTTAAGCCAGAAACACTTTAAACTTCATCAAGGACTTTGGCCAAGTTTACCAGAGCATTTGCATTGCCATTTACTTTATGGCGCGCCGCTCTCTGCGCTTCTCACTCAGCTGCTTTGTTGTTGTTTTGATTTGATTTAGTCGCCGGACCCAAGCGCCCGAAGTGCCAAAGCACCGCAACTGTTTGTGTTTCGCTTAGTAGAGTCCTGCTTTTCTCCCCTGTTTTCCTTTTTTTACTTTTACTTTTAGTTTTTTTTTTTTTTTTTTTTGGCTGCTACCTGACAAAATATTTATACAAAAATCTAGCCAGGGTTGCACGCGCACAACGCATTTGTTTGTGTTGTTCTATTCACGCTTGTTAGTTTTTCGCGCTAGCTATTTTGCTATTTTGTTGTTCACCAAGCAAATTGGAAGCAATATTTCAGAGCCAAAGGATATTGAGGTTGACATTTGCATCGAAAGTTTTATGGCAGAATATTTCGCTGTATTTATAGCCATGTCCATTTCGGACAGGCTATTTAATCCCTGGCACCTCGCAAATACTTTTTCGATTTGATTTGCGCTTCGCACAGTTGCCTTCAGGCATCCGCCCCTGCCTCCTGGTCTGCCAGCCCCCCTCGCTAACTGCTTCACTCTGCTTGGTTTTGGTAGCCGACAAAGCTTTTAATCCTTCTGCATTTTGCATGCGAATTTTTAGGAGCTTTAAAAGCATTGCGTCGACTGGGGCACGTTTCAATTTAAAACTTGGCCTTAAGCAAATAAGCCACAAATATATATACTTCTCTTTTTTTGGACTGGGTCAGTCAATAAATGCTCGAACGTGCCAGAGCCAGAGGCTAGACTCGAGCCGCATCTAGAGTAAAAGGTAAACAGAGTCATTCATCCTCAGCTATTGCCCCCCACACACACACACACACATACACACACACACACACACAGCTTTAATTGAAATTCACAGACGGCTCGCTGATTTGTTGCCCGGCGCACGGGGCGTATGCGTGACGCGAAGCTCAAGTTTTCGGTCAGTTTTGAGAGTTGGAGCAAAAGAATTTCACAGCCCCCAAGGGGAGCATTGTGTGTGTGCGAGGGGGGGGGATGGGGGGCGGAAGCGTGCCTAAAATGTTTAAGCAATTCGCGGCAGGCAAATTGTTGCATGCAATTGCTGGAAAATGTGTTCACACGCAAGCATCAGGTGCGAAAGCGCTCGCCGTTCTCGCCGCTCCTCAGGTGTAAATTTAGTGCGCACACAAAATTATTTTAGATTATGAGAGCCAAGGCGCCAGGCAGCTCGGCTGGAAGCGTGGCAGCGCTCAAAGGCTCCGGAAGTTGCAGTTTAGTTTTTATGAAGCGCGAACTGTGCGCGCGCGATAGCAATTTAACTCCTTCGACTGGATTTGCATGCAAGCCACACACACACATACACACACACACACACACACACTCATGCGATACACGACACGAGCGACCACAGTTAAGTGCGGAAATTGCAAATAATGGTATAATTAATGAAGTTCGACAACTTAGCCAGCAGTCAGCGCGCGGTTAGCAAACTGTAAATAATTGCCAAAAGGCAGGCACAGCTCTTAGCCAAGTTTATAATTTTGATATTTAGAGAAAGTTCTGAACGTATTAAAATTATAAATTTCAGTAAGCATATAAAAGTAAGTGCAAAGCAAGCGACAGGTGCTACGCTCCTAAAAAAACTTTTATAGAGTTTGGCAAACGAAGCATTTTGAATATTTACTTTAGCTCAAGCATGACAACAGCGCTTGCTGAAATTTACCAGACTTTGTGAACTATGGCAACAGCTAAATGCATAATTTCGATATGTCGTTAGATTTATCGAAGCAAAATTAAATTTGACAATAGTTATAGAAATGTATTCTTACTTTAGCCAAGATAAAATGTGTAAATACATCTTGTTAATATTATTGTATATATCTTGGCAATATGTTCGATATTTCGTTAAGCAGAGTCTGGCAACAGACATCAAAGAGTTTTTACTCTTCTATTTCCATATTCATATATGATTAAGTGTGAGAATAAAATAATATTTTGTATTGGTTTAATAAATTCTGGCAACTGCAGAAAGCTAACAACTCGTAGAAATGGCTATCCATTCATCTCTTTCAATATTTATATTCAGTTTAGTGAAGCACGGCAACAGGGCAAAGTTAAATTTGGCAACAGCTAAGAAATAGAGAAAAAAACTCATTCTCCTATCTCATCTAAAGCGAGGTATGGCAGCAGAGCGATATTTTGTATATTTCATGTAGTGAAGTACGGCAACAGCTACGAGAAAAATGAGAGAGGAACTTATTTCTCATCTATAATGAAGTGTGGCAACAGAGCAATAATTATATTAAGTTGAAGCAAGGCAACAGGGCAATTAAAATTTGGCAGCAGCTAAGAAAAAGGAGAGAAACTCATTCGCTTATCAATTAAATCAAAGTGTGGCACAACAGAGCAATATTTAGGCTAGACTAGAAGCAGGAGAATGCATATTCCTTTCTAGCTCATTCTGGCAACGACGCAATGATCCCTATCGTCGTCTCGTTAAGCGTGCCAGTCACACGCCTTTCCATATGCTTGCATAAACTGAGTGTGGGCGCAATATTGCAACAAATGGCCATGCAACATAGCACAGCATAAGATAAACTAGACACACGCTGCTGCAAGCATTATCACCGCCCCCCGCCACCACTACAGAGGCGCACAGCCCATAAACACCGAGAGCTCCCAAGTCGAATCGGAAATGCTTCACCTGCCACAGCTGCTGCTGCCCCTGCTGCTGCTGCTCCTGCTGCTGACAAATGGATACCTAAAGGGGGCACACACATAGATCCATTAAAATGGGCTGCCACTCGAGCGGGAGGAGAACGAGATGGATAAAAACACAACTCGTTCGGCATATGCAACATTTATGTGTGGCCTTTATTGCGAATGCACACTGTAGTGCGAGGGCGGACGAAGGGAGAGAGAGAGCGCGCGCACAAAGTATTTATGCTACAAATTGTTGCATACTTTGTGGCATATTGGCGCACTTTGTCGAGCGGCAAATGGCAACTGGTAACTGGCAACTGGCAACTGGCAAATGGCAATGGCAATGCCAACGGCTGCAGCTGGCTTGAATATCGGATAGCCAAACAAAGCATTGTGCAAACGTTGCCAACCTTAATTGCAATTTGCTTAAATGTATGCTACACTATTTTTCACTAAGCCACAGAGAGATTGAGGGAGCTACCCTCTCTCCATCGCTCCCCTCACCCTTCGTTGTTGCTTAGGTGCGCATTTTACTTTCGCTGTTCAATGATTTTCAATTTGTTAGAGTCAACTTTGCTGCGCAACTGTACCAAGAGTCATGACAAATACACACACACACACACATATACACAGGCCCCCGTTCCTGCTCCTGCTCCCCATTCCTGCTCGCTTGCCCTCTGCTTGTTTATCTAACTAAAATGCACTGCTGCCATATGCCCCACCCCACCTCCCTCGCTAGCGCACATTCACTCTGGCTGTCATGTGACATTAATTTTTCCAGCAATGCGCTGCAGCTACTGTGACCCATCCCCCAGCCCCTTTAGCACCACCTCTCCCTCGGTGGCAACAACCCTTAACCCGCCCACATTTTGCGCACGTCTTGCATAAACATTTTCATAAGCAGCTTCCAAATTGAATTTGTTTTCATAAGCCAAAACTATTATGCGACAGAGCTCTATTCTTTCCCTTTTTATTTTTTATTTGACTATCTCTCTCACTCCCTTAGAGTGTGTATGACGATAGTGGGAGCTATAAAATATAAACCATATGCGTGTGTGTGTGTGTGTAAGTGTAGAGAAGTTGTGTTTCGCTTGATTATGTGACAATGAGCCTGATTGGTTTTTAATGTTGTCGATGGCTCGGAGGAGCAACAGCAGAAATTTTTGGGATCTGTTTATGAATGCATGAACCAACTAAATAAATAACTGAAACGTGTGAGCTGATGGCTTTATATTTATTTACAAAATTTAAGATTTT